TTTATGTTAATAATTATTATGTAAATTAATAAAGATTCACCTCTTTATTAATTTACCTCTTCCATGAAAATTATAATCAAGTTGAAAAGGATAATTATCTCCTGGGTGTATCCAAGAGATGATTATCCAATTTACCTCTCTTGTGTGTATGTTTATTATGTTTATCTCTCTTATGGTATTTTCTGAAATAAAGGATATTCAACACATGTACATTTATCATGCTCTGAATATCCTGACACTTTCCCCCAAGGAAAAGTGTAACAATAAGGGGACTGCACCGGTCCCAGCAGCAGATTGACCCCTGCTCTGTAATATTTAAGAGGATGCTTCTCCCCCTGAGATTCATCCCCCAGACAATATTACCATACAAACCCAAGTGCCTTACTATAATACATATAAATTAGTGAGTGGGGTTTTATAGTAAATTATTGTATCTTAGTTATTACCTTTCTCTTTATCTTCTTACTAGCCTTATAAGTTACATATTTAACTTATAAGACTAGTACAAACCTCAATTTCCTTATACTCCTTCAGCTCAGGCACTGTGAAGCTCATCCCACAGTTGTCCCTTATTATTATAAGGAGCTAGCCCCTCCACTGTATTAGTGTTGAGGAGAGGCTCAATTCCACTGGCCCTTCTTGGCTAAAGTGTGACCAAAACCCATCAACTCTAGGTCACATAAGAGACCAGAGCTGACAGCTGTAGTACCCACATGGGGATCAGTTTGCATGGTATCTTCCCAAGAGTCGCCGGTTTTAGCAAGCATGTTATGAAGGATTACACATGTATACACCCATTGAACGTAGTGTGTCATGTCTCGGTTGCCATTCGTATGTTGTAATCGGATCTCTTTGAGAGAACAAAACCTATTTTTTAACATTCCGATCGTCTCCTCGTTCCGAGCTCGAGCCTGGGTCACACAATCGTTGAAGCGTGAATTTTCCGTGACTTTAGCCGCTGGTGCTTTGTACGCTGGGATGACGGTTTGGCTGAGTTGATAAGTCGAACTTGCAAGAAGGTATTGACCTGTGAATAGAAAAACAAAGGAATTAAATTCATGATTCTTAATATATAATGGGCCTTAGCCTTCGATTCCATGACTGGAGCTACTTATTACCTTTCGAGAAGAATTTATTGGGGTTCTTGCATAATTCCATCCTCTTGAGGATAGAGCTATCAGCACAAGAATCAGGCCATACAGTGATGAATGCGATAATGTTTTTGTCGCAATCGCAAATGACCTGAGCTTTCATCGAGTCGCGTTTCCGTTGGTAGACCGGGAAAGTAGTGCCACCCACAAACCCAACACAACCTTCGAAGCCCTCGTTTGTCATGACATCAGAGATCTCTAATCGACGATCGGCACTTGGCCATTGGACATATTTCTTGCCGAGGTTTGTGATTGCCCGAATCACACGACGAGTCACTTTGATCACTGTGCCTCGACCGACATTCAGATCACGTGAGAAACGGGCAACCGATGCGCTACTTCCGGCGGATCCAAGCCTCTCCAGTGTCAAGGCCAGTTGATGTGCAATTGGAAGTTGTGGTCGGGGTCCGGTGCTTTGGAATATGGGGTCGGATGAGATTTCGTCAAGGAGCAACCTGAAGCCCTCCTTTGATGTGCGAACAGTTTGTTTAAATTCGTCATCCGGAATCTGGAACAATCTTGCAATGTCGAATTCTTCACGCGGGATTGGACGAGCACGAGGTTGGAGGTACCGGTGGGAGAGAACAACCTGCAGAAGGTCCGAGAGATCATCCAAATCGCTCATAAGGTAATCGAAAACATCCCGCTGATGCACAGGTCGTCCGTAGATTGAAGACTCCCCCGGAATGAAATGATGGCGATTCCGAGAAAGAGACAATATCCTCTGATCTAGTTCATCACCAAGAGCAACCATATACATAAAGAAGAGATCCCGGACTAATGATTGACGTTCAGAAGTCCGGGGCATGCTGAATAAGGATAGTGGGGTGCCCGGGCGGGTGAGGGGAAGTTCAAGCGGCAGCTAGAGGAGGTCCAGCTTTCCTTGAAAGAAATCAGCTGGATTCTAGCTTAACAAAGCCTCTCCCGGGGCGTCCCCGCGGGACGCTCTCCGTAGGAGAGGCTTATGAATCAAGTCGAATCCTTGGCTGGGACAGGAAGGATTTTCAGGGCTAAAATCACAAAAAAATAAATAAATAAAAAACTACTCAATTTCAAAAAAAAGTGAATAGACAGTTTTTTCGGTCAGAACGAAGCGGACCCTTAGACAAATACTTGAGATGAAGAGGACGAAAATGACCAGCGAAGTCCATTTTAACGGTCAATTGAAACATGCATCAGTACGCTTCTGTTGATAAGGATCTCCCAGGTATCTGCCAGGGGTGAATATCCATGTGCTAGCTTCTCAGAGAGTTTCGAGATTCCAAAGTAAGTTTGTGAGAATTTTCAAGAAGCCCATACTGGGTCCAACTGTCCAACTGGCAAGCTCTTTGGCTGCGAAAACAAAGGACCATCGACAAAGGACCATCAACAACGAACGAAAATGGAGCCCATCAACATCTGCGCGAAGATAGAAGAATACGACGATGACCAACTGCGAGCGTTTATAGAAGAGCAAGGAGTTGAAAAGTATAAGCAGCCATGCAAGCGTCTTCAGGTCGATACGATTGTGAATCTTGTCCGCGGACGAAACACATTCCTCCTAGCAGCGACTGGGTTTGGCAAATCTAGAGTGTCGGAGATGTATTTGAACTTGATGCCAAAAGATCGGAAGGGTCGCGAAATGGGTGTGGTAGTCGTCCTGAACCCTCTCGATGCGTTGGGAGACAATCAAGTTGAAGAGAAGATCGATGCCGGCTACACTGCGATCAATCTGACGGCGCGTAACTTCAACAAGGAGACGGCGGCAGACGTCAAAGCTGGCAAATACAACTTCGTCTATTTATCACCCGAGATATTTCTTAATAATAAACACTTCGAGTCTTTATATTTATCTCCTGAATTTCAAAGCCAGTTGGTGCTTCTTGTAGTCGATGAGGCACATATGATTTATTCGTGGGGGTTAGTGGAAGATGGAAAACGAAAGCTGAAAACTCTTGTCCGACATCAAGATCAAGGAATTTTTCGACCTTGTTATGGAAAGATCGCCAATGCTCTGCTAAACAAGAACAAGTCTCCTCTCCTCCTAATGTCAGCAACCTGCCGACCAAAGGCAATCGATGCAATCAAAAAAAATTTGAAACTACTCGACACAGATCTCGATGTCCTGCTAGGTGAATTAAGCCGACCTGAAATTCGCATTATCCGAGTCCCCATGACCCAGTCACACGCTTCGTGCCTTGATTTGATGCCTCTCTATGCCACCAAGGAGCAGACACCCACCAATCAGCTAGTTCCTTCTTTAATCTACACTGGAACTCGACACTTAACCTATAAGGTTTTAGAGGTATTGGATGCTGCCCGAGGCACCCCGAATGAAAATGTGGCCCCCAGAAGCAAGTGTGTAAGGCGATATCATGCCTGCACAGGTGAATTGGATAAAAAAGATGTCATCTCGAAATTCTCAAAAGGCGAGATCCCATTAGTGGCTTGTACTCTGGCACTTGGGATGGGTCAGAATTGGAAAAGTGTACGACAGGTGGTCCACATTGGTCGAGGCGATCCATCTATTATTTGTCAGATGATCGGAAGAGCTGGTCGGGATGGGCAGCCAGCTTTGGCCATACTATTCATGGAGCCAACCAGAAAGGGAGGGAAAAACCAATTGAGTGATTTTCCTGGTGGCGAGCAGACTTCCGATGAAGACAGGATGGATGCCTTAGCAGTGACCCCTGTTTGTCTTAGAGTTGCCTTTGCGGTTGATAACCTGTAAGTTCTTTTGATGAATTTGAGTTAAGAGGTGGCTCTGATTTGCAAATGCTCTTTTTCAGTGTAGGACATGTTCCTCTTAGCTTTGATGATCCTGCTTACAAAGTGGAGGTAGCACGCGAAAAGAAAGAGAACTTTCCACCTTGCATGTGCTCCAACTGCATGGGAGACATGGCAAAGCTTCTTGTGCAAAACCTCAAGAACGTTAATCGAACAAACTTCTCAGATTACATCTTAAATAAAGTTCCGATGGACCCAAATCAAAGTGGGACGGCTCACAGTAATAAATCTGACGGCACTGGGGTCAAGCGAACAATTGAGAACCCAATCAAGCTCAAAAAGGAAGAACAGACTGTGCTTAAGGAGATGCTGAAGAGAGACTGTCACGACTTTATTAGAAAAACAGTGGGAAAGGGAGGGACCATTGTTCCAGGTCGTTTCTTTGGAGACAGCGAGGCTCAGGCCATTGTTAGGAATATCAATCAAATTGTCGATGCAAATGACATGCGAAGAATCATAAAAGGCGAGGCATTTCGGGGTCAAGTCAAACTGTTGATGACAACAGTGGAACAGTTCAAACTAGAGAAGCGTATGCCAATCGAACTCGAGAGTGTTGCATTCAAGAGGCCCAGAACTGTGACAGAGGTTACCAACGGACGAACTCTAGATGTGACCAACAAACAACTGGATGTGAACAACCGACAAATGAAGGTGAAAACGGGGAGTGAGTCAGTCAGGGTTTTGGAACACACATCTCTTCCTGTCAAGAAGAAAAGATGTTCACCGCAGGAAGCCCAAGCAAAAAGGGCGGAGGAAGCAGAGAGAAAAAGAATTCGGAAAGAGAGCAAGAATCAGCGAGATGCCAAAGCAGCCGAGTCAAAACGGATCCGAAAGGAAGGTCAACAACAGATCATTAATGAAGTCAAGCAGGCTTACGGAATGAACAAACAAACCAGCGACATTGGCTAGGACTCATATTGTGGTGCACACTGGTCTGGTGGTCTGGTAGGCTCTTCATCCTCATCTCCAGAGTCTTCCACAGGAGTGTTTTCAAAAACCATACTCATCTTGAATTTGGACAATAGGGGATCGGAAGCAATCTCTGTTTGGATCTTGTGGAACCCTGCAACGAATGAATCCTCCACTTTTGTTATACGATGCTGAGTTTCTTTTGGATTTTCATCAAGAATGTCGTATTTCTTGGCTACTTGCATGAAGACGTTGAGTGAGATGGTTGGGATGATATTCTTGTGTGATTGTGTGAATACAGTTGCTCCACTATCCAAACGAATGGATTTCATCATGTTGCGCAGCTGAATTTTATTAAGAATTTAGGATAATTATTATCCCTTTTCTGAAGACAAATCAATGCAAAAGTGAAACTTACCAGGTGGATGTTTAATGAGTATGTGTCTTTGAGTCGATCCACATCAGTTCCTATCCCGCTGTTGTTGAATACAAACTTAAGCCAGTAGTTCTGGATTTCAAGATAGAAGTCTTTAGAGACAAAGTGATTTGGCCGACCCGATGGAGAAAAGAGCAGGGAGTGTCGAAAAAGTTTTCCCAATGAACCGGGGAGGATCTCGTTAAGAAACACAATCAATCGGGGGAGGTACAATGAGTAATTGCGTAATCCCTTCAAAGATTGGCTCATTACAGCCCACATCTTCCACACATTCATAAGGCGACCAATATCTCCAGCCTTCATTGCACGGTCCGCTTCAACCACGGTGGAGAATTCATGGAGGCGCAGAAGAAGGTTGTTGAGCTTCGGTGATGATCGTTCGTAAGCTGTGGCCCGAGCCTCACCAGTACAAAACCGGGCATAGACATCCTCAATGATTTGATTGTATTTTGCAGTGGGAATGGTTGGTTTCGGGTTTTTTCCATCAAAAGCCATCACAGGATCCAAGTCGGTTTTCATGACCACCCTTTCAAATGGTTGTGCAAGTCATGTCAATCCAGAAGCTACATAGATACAGTGAGAGAAGGTGGTGGCAAAAGAAGGAATCACTTACTTCAGACAATACAGAATAGTTGCCTCATGAACTCGTTCAATATATTTAAGCATGAGAGTGTAATCTTTTTTTTTAGGCATCGCTCTTTCATGTGGAACACCGAGTGCATGCAAAACACGCCATGCACCTGTATCCAAAGAGCTCTCGGGATTGCCAAAGTGAGTTTTAAATATACATTGTGCAATGTTCCATAAAGTATGTGAAGCACCAAGCTGGAAGGAGACGTTCTGAAGACTGTGTCGAGGATATTCACTTGGGTTACATAGAAACTTGAGACTGTTGAAGTTCCGACAGGTTGCCAAATCGCCATCGAAGAGTAGCATTTTACTGAAAAACTCCTCGGGAGATAAGCCAGCCTGTTCAGCCACTGAATCAAGAACATGTCCAATACCTTCCGAACTGTTTTCAGGTGCTTCCATCAGTTTGAGCATATGTATCTTTGGGGGTGTACTTGAGATCGGATCAACTTCGGGAGGGTTTATGTTGATTGCTTGTGATGGGTCGGAGGGGCTGGCTAGATATTGGGACAGAACATGTGCAATCTGCGACTTCCACACGGCTTTGTAGCTAACTTCGGACTCAAGGGTTGGCATGAACATGTAGGGATCCACTTGAAAGGACGGGATTTTCTTGAGGGCGGAGTGAAAAGTAGTCAGGTTGATTTCATCCATGTCCAGGCTATTGAGTAGATCATCGGAGGGCAGGTGAACATAGCCCCATTTTCCGTGAAAGGTGTGATTACGGTGTCCAGTTGAGTGGGTGTGGACCCTTTCCTCTATATCCAAGTTATCAATACAGATAATTGGTGCAATTGGAAATTTTCGGAAAGCATTCCTAAAAAGATCTTTAAGTTTCATTTCTGCTTCAGAAGATAGTGTGTTGATTGCAGCCATTGCCGTTCGACGACTGCAAGACAATCCATGGTACATTAAATATTGATTGACACGTTCGGTCACGCCACAAGCAAGAAGCTGAATCCCATTTCGTAGCTGCATCCCATTGTGCCGACGGTTTCTTGTAAATGCGACCATTCCACAAACCATTTTTGAAATCTGTAGCTATGGATTAGTATGCATGACTATTCTTCAAGATGCCATAAAATGGACATACACATTGGAATCTGGATGTTGCACGTAGCTGAGGGGTGGGAGGTGAGCCATAAGCAATTTCCTCCAAGTCAAGCCCTTGCTGATCATCCTGAGCTTGTGCTGCAACCAGGGTTTCATCAGCCTCAGTCGGAATAGGATCGTTGTTTGAAACCGAGGTCGATAGTGCCCCCAACACAAGGTTGTGGAGGAAAGGCATACTTTTCACGATATACTGATCGTTGTAACTCTGCTTGGACTCTTCGCTGAAGAAAGAGGCAGTAGCTGCAGCACTGCTCAGGAAAGAGCCTTGTGGATAATACCCACTTTTGGGCTGCTGTTGTTTGACAATTTCAATCGCCTGCACAGTACTGGTCAGGTTCAATCCAATTGGAATCGGAGCTGCAGTGTGCACCATCACTCACATGCTCCAGTACAAACTCATGCCACATCTTCTTGCCTTCTTCTTTCTTGGTCAAAACTTCTACAAACACCTTGAGGAGATCCATCGTCGAAGGTAGCCCCTTTCCGTACCATTTCTTGCGGCGATCGATGGCGTTCAAGTCGTTGTTCTGTAGGAAAGCGTGGAAGAATTTCTTTGGAGTCAATTGGTGGGAATTGATATAGTCACATATTTGCAGTATATGAGAATGTTCAGGGACCATTGTTGGATTTGGAGGATTCATGAGCTCTGATTGAACAGTCGACGCTTTTGAGTCTTCGTAATGCTGGAGTGGAAAGGCTGGGTAGTTGCCGGTCTCTTGAGACTTGAACCAGGCATCGCCACAAACACATAACTATCTGCCAGGATCTTCATGCATAGATCTTGATGGTTTAATCATCAAAATGGCACACATGAAGATACTGGGATACACAAAGAACAGTTCCTTGCATATCCTGGTGAATCGTTTTGAGGAAAAAAATATTTTTCAAAAGAATGTGGAGGGAAAAGTATTGGGAATGATGCGATAAAACCACCACCAATGAAAAGCTGGATCACAAAAGTATCATTTGGCTCTGAGGCGGGTCTGTTGGGCATGAGGATAAGATGCTAGAGGCTTATTAATTTTCACTCCAGCCAAATGTTTTTCCTGTCCCAGCCAAGATTCGGACTTGATACGCAAGTCCCTCCCTGCGGGAGGGCGCGCTTCGCGCGCAGAAAAACCGACTGCAGGCCGAGGGACTTGTGATAAGTTAGAGGCCGAGGGACTTGTGATAAGTTAGAGCTGGATTCTACAAAATTAAATTTGTGGACTAGGCTTCTGAATTCCGACAAGAAGTCCCAGGAAGCCCTCCAGCTGATGCAAGCGGATGCAAGGATGCAGCAAAGCCCAAGGTCACCATTTTTGACAAGGTTTGAAAATTTGGCCGTTGATTTTTGGGGAGGTGAAGGAGGGTGAGCCCCCATCATTGGGTAGCCCGTGTGACATGCCAGTAACAGGTTCCGGCCAAGCTGCCTCAAGTCTGAGCCCAATCCCCCGCCGGCCAACAGCTTAAAGATTTTTATCCCGGTCACCTCAGGCTCAACTCAGCGAACTCGGACAACAACCATGATCTCGATCGCACTTCAAGCTCGGCCTCTTCCCCGTTGCGGTTCGTGGCAAGCGGTAGCCCAAGGATGTCGTCACCAGTCCTCTCGATCGGCCGGCTCACTCTCTAGTGCTGTCGTGCAACCCATGGCTCCGATCTTCAACCGACGGGAGAAAAAGAAACTCAGGAATGCTTTCCCTAGACCCGATAAATCTCCACAAGTCCTTCATCCTACCCTCCCGCCAAGCTTCGTGAATCGGGTGAGTCACTTTCTTTGCCCCTAATCGCATTTCGCTCATATCTAATTCGAAAGGTGTGTGTTTTTCTTTTTCTGAAAAAAAAAAAATGGGTTTAGGTCACGATGGCCGATGGGTCCTCATTTTATCTGACCACACGATCACCTAGACCGACGATCACACTCGCCCGAGATGTCACGAATCACCCGCTCTGGAATCCATCTTTAGCACGAGAAGTGGCCGACCAAGATCAATCCGGACGGATGGGACGCTTTGCACGTCGATACGGGGGTCCCAAAGCTGATCTCACTACATCTGACCCATCCGAGTCGATTCAATCTCAAGCTAGCCCTCAATCATCCGCTCAGGACAATGATAAGCAAGCAGACCAACAACCTGAATTGGCAAACCAGAGCCAGAGCGCACTCGATAAACATGGCTTCGGACTCGATGATCTTCAATGGATCTCCGGTGAATCTAATCAATCTTTCTACGGTATCGGGAATGCTAAAAATATTAAAGGCTTGAAGAAAACTGGTCCTGGATCTAAAAAATAATCTAACTATACTCATCCACCACTTATACCAACTTGTTTCCTTCTGCTTCTTCTTCTTATTCAATTATTGTTTTTTTAGTAGTTAATGAGACAAAAGTACATAAACTTGTTTGGTTTGAGAGGAAAGGCCATGTCAATTCTTTTATCTTAGGAAGAAAAATTAGAGAAAATTGGGTATAGGTATCAAGTCCCTGTAAGTAAACAGGGAGTCCAATTGCTTGCAGAGTTGCTTCAAATCTATCTACTCAGTTTCAAATGAATTTTGGGGTTTATCAGGCAGGTGAGGTAAGTGATCAATTTTTTTTGTGATAGATGGTCAATTCCAGATTAAACATACCCAATTGACTCTTATCTGATCTCAAGTGATAAAATTCTTGCTGCTCCAATTTCGACTGTTCACCTATATACCCTGATTAGAGTATAGTGTGACTGGGCCACTAAGCTCCAATATTCCACTTTTTACCAGAATAGCAACACTTTGTGCAAATCAAGGTGTTGATAGTGCCAACTGACATCAAAAGCTTTGATGTATGTATTACTCTTAATTTCACTAGTCATTAGATTGTAAAATGTTTAGATGCAGTTGTGGAACTTAATTGTGTTGATAGGTGAATGCTTCCTACAGCCATCACATTGATATGAAGAATCTATCTTTCAGTGCCAAATGAGCCATGGTGATGGAGCAAATCCCATTGAAGATCGTTATATGCCCACATTAACATCCTTCTGAATATGATGCACATGAAGAAGAGGCATTGGATGCCAACATGATGAAAAACAATAACTTTCAAGGATGGGGACTTTCTCAAACTGCCAGGACAGTGGGTCTCATGCCGTCCAGAAATTAAATCAAGACAGCTAGATAAGAATGTCCACATGGCCATATTGACAGCTTACAAGCACCTCTATCACAATTATGTTGGAAAGCTTGGGGTCTGCATGGCAGCACCAGGTCTCATATTCCATCTTTTCAAATGAAAGAGGAACTTGGTTAATTTAGAGAATTGCGTGGTGAAACATTCAATTCAGATTTTTTTAGGCTTCTTGTATCACCTTGACATATAAATCTACAGGGGTAAAAAACATTGATCGGGCCATAGATTTGTGGATGGAATACAATTCATAATTCAACAATAGCGACCACAATGCCGGTCTAATATAACAAATCAGCCAGCCAGATTTTTTGGGGCATGAGTGAACTTAAGCTGACTCCACTTTTGATAGTCATTCTTCAAGCGTAGGTTAAGATGTTGAACTCTTGAGAGGTTTTTTCCTTGCCTGCAAAACAAAATAGATAAATCAAAGAATTAGGGAAATCAGTAAGCGAAAAAAAATTAAGGTTAGGTAGTGAGGTTTTATTGGCCTTTATAACAAGCAGAAACACCTTACCTCCATAAGAAAAGATTGCAAAGTCGGTCCCATCTTGGGCTTTGCATGGATGCACGCCTCCTTCGTGAAGAACTTGACACACGAACAAAAATCTGAACCGACAAATCAGATTGGGTCAGAATCATCAAGGAGGTCTCCACACAAATATAGTAGCTAACCTTCCATCTTCTTCTCGGCCTCCCTCAACAGGCTGCCATCCTTGAGCTTGAATGACACCATGGCCTGAAGAGTGGTTGACCCACTTGACGGCATTTTTATCACCACACAAGATCTAAATTGACTCTCGTTAGATTTCCATGTATTTTCATGGTGATTGTAAACTCATGATTTGGAAGCAAGAATAGTGGTCAAGCTTACCTCATACTTGTCAAAGTCATTATGCTCTTTACCACCGTAACCGATCACACATCCGCCCAAGTGGTTCGAAACTTTTCCAACATGTAAACCGCCTTTGTAGTAAGTTCTACCGATGTACAATGAGTGGCCTCCCTCACGACCACCTTCGATAGCGTTGTTAGGAATCGGGTCGCTTTTACTGACAAGCATCCAGAAAACGGGCGGACTTTGGCCACCAGCATAGCTGGCAGAAGATATGACGGGGATCCAAAGAGAGATCAGTTCGACTGAAAAACTTGGATGCATCGCAAAAAACCAAAATATGCTAACTAGTGCTGGGTGTGTGCATGAGCACCCTGAAGCCATTTGTCACGGCTGGATTCATTGATCCAGGCTTGCTTTTTGGACTCTTCGACGGCTTGGTTCTTATGCTTACTGTAAGCATAAACCCCGCCACCGATGGCTGAAACAAAAGAAAAGAAAGAAACAACATTTAGATCAAAGTGAGAGAGAGCACGAAACAGTAGCATTACTAACCGAGTGCACTTAGGATACCACCCCCGATCTCGAGCTTATGTTTCTTGGTCTCATCCAACCACCCTTCGTCCTTCTTTTCACCCTCTGGTTGGTCATATCTACCCTCCTTATGCTCTTCTTGGCCCCATCCACCTGAGGATTGGGGGAATAAAACGGATATAACATTATTACATGGATAGTGATGAATAAGAACAAGATGACTTGGAAGCTCGGTTACTCACCAGGTTGAGGCATGTTTTGTTGGCCATAACCGCCACCGCCGGATTGGTCTACGAAGCCTTGGTTCTGACGATGGTGTTCTTCGACACCATGATGAACTTCACCCGACCGGTATTGATGGTGAGCTTCCTCTGGCAATCTGGACCAGAGGGCAGGAACCACAGGTGGTTGCCAGTTTGGCTCGGATTGATGAGGTTGGACAATTTTGTAGAGGTGCCCTTCGTATTCTACGACGGCATCATGTCCGTACTGAGTCCAAGCCTCCCTGATTAATTAATTCATAAGTATTAATATCGTCATATTATAAGAAGATGGAGCTGGGGTGGCGACCAGAATCAAAGATCGAATGGTTTGGTTAAGTATCACTCACCATTGGTAGACCATTTTGTCGATTGTAATTGCAAAGGTTTTTCTAAACTAATAATCAGTTCAATCTGGTTTTCAGGTTAAGGAAGTTATCTGGGGAGAGAGACAAGCAGATGATGGGTTCTTTTTCGAGAAAGTCTTGCTGACCGGACTGTTGCAGATGAGTTTTATTTAAACATTTCCTTTGAAAGGGCTCCAGACCGGCTTACATCAGATCCTGCTTCACCGCCATCAACCCTGGTCCCTGACGTCATACATTACAATAACTAATAAGGTTAATAAATAGTCCATATTACTATATCTAGATAAATACATACTCATTCAGTTATTAATGTCCAGCTCATCCGGCCCAACAAATTACAAGGCCCAACGATATCCACACAGCCTTGGATCTTGGCTCTCTCGTATCGAACTCAAGCTCCCCTTAGAGGCTATGAAAGGCAAACTGTCGTCAATCAAACGTGTAATTGCGGTGTATCAGGTAAAGAATTGTAAGAGGTGATATTCATGAAGCTGTTTAAGAGGGACCGGGTCCATCTGCCAACGGTACCGACCATCAATCAGCAGGTATTGTTAGGTTTCAAGTTGAGATGAATGGCATATTGAGGTCCCTAATAGTAATATGGTTCCACATGAGGACACCGCTTTCTCATTTTTTTTTCATATTTAAAAAGGAAACTCAAATGGTCTCACCGAAGCTTAAGTTTGTTGGCAGCCACCGCCACATAAACAAGAATGCCAAAAATGTTGATCAGAGGGGTTCACAACAGCTCAAAACAAGACTTGACGATAACCAAGACGCGAGTGAAGCCAAGAAGCTCATGATGGCTATGGATCCCAAATTTTGGGTGCCAAAAAAAGGGTCAAAGACCACCTGCTGCGCTTTGCTCATATTTCAGGTACACTTGACCTGGGGCTTAGCTGGCGCTGGTTAGGTGGCTCAAGAGGAATATGCACGTGGATTGTTTCATGTGAGCTATTTAGAGCAGTTCCACCGCGGCCCCTACTTCCGGGCCGTAAAATCTTGATGATCAGGTCCACGCAGCCAGTTTTACAGTCTCAAACTGCTGCGGCATACACCGCGACTTGGTGGAGCGGTTTGTAAAAGTTGATGACAGGTGTACTGTCGAGGGTGGTGTTGTGTGTGAGAGTTGAGTTTCACACGTTGTTGTTGTGTGTAAGTGTTGTTTGGAGGCCGTTGTGGTCATTATTCCTGTGTATGAAGGGAGAAAATTCAAAAATTTTATTATTTATCAATGAAGGACTCAAGATACGGACAAATGGACGTCAGAAATGGAATCTACGGCCAATTTAACCCCTAGTCACTCACTGGAACCACCTTCATATCTCTACGGGATCAGAAGTTACGCAGAATCAAGGATGTCACACGGAGAATCACAGGATCAGAGGCACTCAGTTGGAGGGTATATTGCATGGGGGTATATTAGGGGGTATCAAATATAACGAAATCCACCACTTTTTAATTGACGGGTTTTGAGAAATCCACACTTACCAAATCCACCTTTGCAGTGACCAAATAACCTACTTCTTTTGTCAGGGCGTATCAAATATAGCATAAATCAACCCATTTTTTTAGCCCAAAATTCCTGAATTTCCAATTTCAAATTCCAACCATCCCCCATCCTCCACGATTCCCTCAATCCTCCACGATTCAATCCCCACTCACCCCACAGCTTCTTCAACATCTCCTCTTAACTTGCCCCTGCACATCACTCGTCATCAAACCAAGTCTGATCAATTGATTAGTTCAAGGTATTTATCTTCAACTGAACCAAAGTATATTTCAATGGCCTCACCAATTTTGTTCTTTTTCCACTACATGCACCCAACAGATGCCTCCAAAAAAAGCTTCCAGATTCCCAACCCTCCGATCACTTCGAACCCCTCCAAAGAAGAAGAGGGCCACTCCAAAAAATACACGATCAAAGAAGAACGATGATGAACTTGGTTCATCCCAAGGTCATCTAAAAATAGAGGACTATGAAATCATCATCGACTGGCTCAGAGACAAGAAAAACTACGTTGCCTGTTTTGGCGATGGAAAGGCTCCTGCGATTGGACGACGACCAAAGGCAATGATAAACGGTTACGAGTTGATGGCGATTCACCTCCGAAATGTTTCTCCAACTAAAATCAATCTTACCCCCCGACAGATGAAAGATCGTTTCAAGTCATACAAGGACAAGTATAAGAAAGCTCATACGAAATCTATGTCAACTGGCTTTGGTCTGACCCCAGCTGATCGGAAGGCTGGAATCACAACGATTGAGGACAAACTTGAAAATATGTGTCCTCTCTACGCTGAAATGGACGAAATCTTTGGTAACCGGCCTGACGTCAATCCGTTGTTTATGGCGGATGCAGAGGATGAAGACGATTCATCTGAATCATCTTCTGAGGACACCAATTCCGATTCCTCAAATGAGATGGATGAGAACGATTCATCTCAAAGTTCTGAGTCCACTGCTATTCACCCTTTGTTGAAGAATGCTACTTCACAAGTCAATATCGTGGCCCTGGAGCAAGAAAACACAGGTGATGTAAGTCAATTGGATTCATTTGTTGTCAGTCATCGGTTCACTGATTTTAAAAGATATTGCCCTGTCAAACAGAGAACGGAAGCTCCGACTGGGCAAGTTCCAATGGATGAAGAGGCAGGTGTCCAGGCTGGGGCAACAGGTGTAAGTTGCACTGTTGAGTGATGGCAAAAAAGACTACAACTATATTGACTTTCTTCATCGTTCTTATCCAGGAACCCACTCCATTGGGTGAGACTGTCCAAGATCCAGCTTCAAAGTCTAAGGGGACCCAGGCGAAATCACCAAAGAAGAAGAAGAACAAAAGCAATTGTGTGCAATCTACAAGCAAGGCACCTGCTCTGAGCGATTCTGGTGAAGACGATTCTGAGTACATATCCCCAAGGAAGAAAACAAGTGCGAAGAAGAAGCGCAAAAGAAGGTCCTCAGGATTGAACGCTGGTTTGACACCCAAAGAGCTTGCTTTGGACGATCATACCGATGAGGACTCCTCTGACACCCCGGCTCCAAGTCCAAAAAAAGGAAAGCGCCGAGCCTCAAACTCCAAGAATATCAATCCCAAAAGCCATGGTCGCCCCTCTGCTGTTCCCAACTCTTTTTTGGCCTACGAAGAATATGCAATGAAAAGAGATGCTGGTCAGTCATCTTACATTCCACTCACTTTTTAACTACCTGGGAAATTAACGATTCTTCCTTTCTCCTTGATTTCTAGGAAAATATGAGGTCGCTCGGGAGAATCTTGGCTTTGAAAAGATGAAGTACAACAGGATGATTGAAAAGGAAGATAACGGTCTGAAATTGGAAGATAAAAAATTCGAGCATAGTAAAGAAATGGAAGGTAAACAATGGGATCACTCGATGAAGTTGGACGATAAAAAGTTGGAGATGGAGAAGGAGGAGAAGGCAAAAGATCGAGATTTTGAGTTGCAAAAACTGGATCGCCAATCAAATGCCGAGGCTCAAGCGAAGAAGATGGAGGTGTTGGTGAAGTGTTTGGACTCTGGGAAATCGATGGAAGACATAGAGAGAATTGCAAAACTTTTCAAATAGCCGCCCGTTCTGATTATCTTGTTGTAGTATGACTTAACTCAACGGTTTCCTTGCATATTGGAAATAAAAGTGCGATCAAGACAAAAAAACGGATGTGTTGAATTACTTTTCTTTGATGACAACCACGAAGAAAATTGATAGACAGTCAGTTTATAGAGCAAGAAAGGAAAATGAAATGATGAGAAATGAGGTTAGTTAAGAGAAAACAGGGCCTTTTTTTTGGTTTGAGGAGTTTTGTTGTAAGAAATAAGGAAGTTAGGGATATTGGAGGACCACAATGACAACAGATAAAAGGAAAGTCAATCACATAAAAGAGAAATGGTAACAGAGAAGCTAACGTCTTTGACGTTTGTTGGAGGGCTGTCTTCTTTGACATTTTTTGGAGGGTTGTTTCGACAAAGGTTTGTTGGCATCGTTATTTTCAGAGGAAGGTTCGTCATCGTTTTGTTGTCTTTTTTTGGGTCTGGGATAAGTTTGAGAGTTATTGAGGATTACACGCATGTCACAAACTTTCCAGTGTTTCTTTTTGGGATCTTTCTTATAGTGACCCTTTTGGTTTTTTTGGATTACCTCTTTGGTTTTCGTCGGGAGTTGGACAGAGTAGCCAAGTCGAGCATGCGGAGAAGAATCAGGAGTTGTCGAGGGAACAGTGAGATGGTGAATGTGCCTGGCTCTCCAAGCACATTCAACAACTCCTTTAAATCCAGAAAAGTCAATACCGAATCCATGTCTGGGGAAAACGAATTCACCGCCGTATCCGTCCAAATCATCTTCTATTAAGTCCCCTGTGGTTTTGTCAATCGGAAGCCATGTGACAAACGTGTATGGTGAGCTATCTCGATCCGTGTGGGGCTTATTTGAGAAATTATCGAAGGTGTATGATAAATGACACGTGAAATCCCCTGGGGCACTGGTGAAAAGAGGTGTTAACCCTGGGGCCCCAATCGCGTTATGTTGCCTTTTGACTTCTTGATAAATAGGTCGGGAGAGGGCCTCGAATTGTTGGCCAACGAAGCGACTAACATCATCGACCTGTGATTGAAGCTCTTCGTATCCTTCAGGGTCTCGGGATACCTTCCCCGCAATGCCCGTGACGCCAATGATCGTGTCCTTCTCAAATCCCTTGCGCCAACCAAGACTGAACATTTTTCCCGATAATGCTGGACCGTTGATTTTGTTTGGGTTTTGGAATCTGGTCTATTGAATGAGGTGGTGGGCGACTTTCTGATATTGAGACTTCGCTTCCTTGTCCATGGTGTTGAATGGGCGGAATTTGACCACGGCAATAATGTTCTTCCAAGCTTCTCCTCTCCAGGCAATCACACTATCTGAGAACATTCGAATCGGAGCCTCTGGGTTTTTGGTGCATACATGGGAGGTGAGAATTTCATCCAAATCCCATTCGACAAATTTTTGATTGGCTTTGGCTCGTTTCTCCCTCTGCTTTCGGGCCTTGAAGGCTTTGAAACGGAGCTGTTTCTTAGTGAGGGGTGGATCATCGGTAGGTGGTTTGTCTTTGGCGGCAGATTCGGCTTCGGGGGAAGGTTCATCATCGGCAGCGGATTCATCATCGGCGGGGGCAGGTTCATCATCGGCAGCGGATTCATCATCGGTGGCGGATTCATCTTCATCTTCGTTGTATTCATCATCGGTGGAGGATTCATCATCAGCAGTGGATTCTTCTTCTTCAGAGATGGTTTCTTCTGCGGAGAACTCTTCTTCGGCTGAGGATTATTCTGCGGGGGATTCATCGGTAGGAGATTCTGGAGAGAGGTGTTGAAATCCACAAGGCAACTTGTGAGACATGGATGGGGCCTTGGCCTGTGAGTTGA